GTTTGGTTTGCAGTAAAAAACAAACCTCCAATTTATTACCACAAATCGAAATACGCCCCTTTCGACGGAAAGCCCATTAGTTGGTACAGCTTTCATGATTCCTTCAAAAACTTGGTACATGATAATGATGAATTGATCCCAGTACATAAGTTTTACTTACTTCAAAATGCTTTACAAGGTCCTCTAAAATCTATTACCGAAAATCTAAATGCTTCTGAAGAAAACTATAAGGTAGCTTGGGATTCTTTAAAGCAAAGATTTAACAAATCACGGCAAATTTATGTTTATTACGTGTATTTACGTAAGATCCACGGACAATTTCGGCAATCATCTAACAAACCTAGTATGCGCTAAGTCACGAGTGGCTCCTATAAAAACCATTTCTTTGCCTAAGTTAGAATTATGCGCTACGAAATTGCTCGCAAATTTATTTTTATCATGTACCAAGGCATCTAATTTACAATTTGATAATATTTATTTTTACATTACTTTTTTTCTTTTTTTCTAGACGCAACAATATTAATGTGGAAATTGGAAAGAAAAACACTCATGGGTGGACCAGAGTGAATTTGGTAAACATTCTAAAGTACTTTCATATATACAATAAGTTGTAAATAATGTTTATCAACTTAAATGTGAACTTTTTTCAGGTCGGACTTATTTTAAGTGCACTATATGTGGAAAAAACTATAAGTGTGGACATGTGTCAAAAACCATGAAAAAACTGACGTGAGCTAAATTAAAGCAAAAAGTCTGAAAAATACAGTAAATATATTCGATGCTTTGACTAAAGCAAATAATGTAAACACTAGATAGTAGAACTAAAAACTGCAATGTTCATATTAAAGCATGACTTGCCAATTGCGCTGTCCGATCATTTAATTGATTACGTGAAAAGTCCCGATAGAGACAAAAATGTGATGGAAAAAGTAACGTGCAATAGAACTAAATGCACGGCCCTCATTCAAAATGTTATTGGCAAAATTTTGAATTTTTGGTAGAAATGTGATTTTTCTACATATAATGAAATAAATATTAACCAATTCAAAAAATATATATACAACTTTCTTGTATAATAGTAGACTAGGTTCTATTACAGAATTTAATTATATTTTGGAATCAGGAATTTTTCTACAAGAATAAACGCATACCTTTTTGCAACTAAAAATGTACTTCAAAACTAGATCAATTAATTAAACAAAACTTTTTATTTAACTTTTAACTACATATTTAAATTAAATTACTATATTAATAGTATATTTAATAATCAACAAATTGTGGGTCAACCAATAAACGGTTCATGATTTCTTTCTTTTTTCTACCAAAGTATATAGAAGAGAATAGATAGTTTTTCATCACTGATAAAATGTCGAAAGTTCCATTAATCCCACTTCGGAATAGAAAATTAATGAAAGTATATACAAACAACGTCTGTTTTTTTAACAAACGTGTATATTATAAGATAAATGTCTTAACTATTTTACACCTTCTGATACCAACTTTAATCGCTCGCTTGACAATATGCCTTTATAAATCCGACCACCCTGTTGTTGTCCTTTTATATCCTCTACCACATATCTATTGTTTTCTAAAACCTTCGTTACAATATATATGGGCCCCTGAATTTCGCCGTTAATTTTCGACTTTCCCCTGTAGCTGGTATCTGATCTTTTACTAGAACTAAATCCCCAACCTTGAATGATTTTACTTTGTATTTTTGTTTAA